AGATTATCTCTGAAACCGTTTTCACTTTCACTGTCTGCAACTTGCAACACAACAACTAGCAACCAGCTTCTTCTTTCTCAGATTCTTGTCTGAAACAAATCTCCTTCCTTTTTTTCCTCTCAATTTCATCTCAAGATGCCGATTAACAAAGACTCATCAACACCTCCGCCTGTCATCGGAAAAATCGGACCTTACACTGTCTTTATGACTCCTCCGGCGACTCCAAAACCACCTGAATCTCCCTCCGCCTTGCCTGTTGTTCCACCGCCGGTTCTTCCTCCGCCGCAGCAGTTTAAATCGGTGGCTTCCTCTGACCAAGACGGCTCAGTTTTGGGGTTCTTTAAAAACGCCGTCACAAAGGTTCAAAATGGTAAGTAACGAGGAGAAATCTGACTGATTTTGAGATTGAAAAGTTTCCTCATTTTTAGATCTTGGGTTTTGAGATTGCAAAGGAAAGATTCTATCTTTGTGTGTGAAAGTAGATTAAGGTAGGGATTATTGCTAATGTGCCCATGAATTGCATACTGTTTCTGTGATTTGGTAAAGATTGTAACTTTTTTGACATTCTTGTTTGTGTTTTGTTATAGCACATTCAAGTGTGGATGATCATTTGGTGAGATGGTTTGGGTTAAACCAATCTAAGTACCAATGGGCTTTAGATGAGTACTATGAAGGCAAAGGATCAGTAAGTGTTCCCTTAATCCTTTCATAGATTGTGTGTTTTATTGTTTTCCTTTCGATTCTTGATATGTTTGGTTTCTCAATCTTGCGGTTCTTGAATCTTTCTTTGTACTAGTTTCGATCCATATCGACTCCTTTGTTCGCTTGAGTTATGAGCTGTTTGTTAATTGGTTAGTTGGATAAAACTATGTTTCATGTACATTTTCGGTAAGCTTTGAAGCAAAGCTAGTTTCAAGTTTTTTTTTGTTTGCCTTTTACTTCTTGTTTTGATTCTAAGCTAATGGACACAACAATATACATATAATTTTGGACTTGCTCTCTTTAGTCATTGATTTATTGCATATGTTCCGCGTAAACATATTACGGTTAGCATTCATCTGATATCGGTTTTGCACATAAACGCAGGAAATGAAAAGCGTGAAAGCAAAGGAGATGCCGGGAAAAGTGCAGAGCGTATAAGCAACCATATATATATTTTCAGTTGGTGTCCCTTTGGCCAATTCCAAAATCTGTTTTTTTTCTTTCTTTCTGAGAGAACTAGAAAGCTTGAGTCTTGATGGAAGTTTTCTTTAGATGATCGATCATTGAATCCATTTAACCTTTTAGAGATCTCATATGGTGTATTTGAGAAACTATGTAGCTCTTTGTAGTTTTATGTATTATTAGTGGCGAAATCTCCAAAGGAAAATGGAGTTGCATTAATCATTGGTTTGTTGTAAGTTTAATCACATTGTTTACTTTTTACCCTATCGTTATATTTAAAACTTATAATTCATGTTATGTATCAATGTAAAAACAATTTGGTCCGTTTTGTTTGTTTGTCGAGAAACAAATTACTAAGTTGGAGTCACAAATTGTCAATTGAAAACATGATTTGAAATATTTTGTACATTTTTCATTATGATTATTCACTAAGCACACATGGTTTAGAGTAACTTCTCGAACTTCTTGTATATCCATTAACAGACAAGTGAACTCACCGGGGAATAAATCTTACTGAAGGTATTCATAGTGGTGGTGGTGATACCGAAGGTAAGATCCCCAATACTAGCAGTGAATTCATCATTCCGTGACAATGTTATGTAAACATTGTCAGGGTTGAGATTTGTGTTGATAATATTGGATAGGTGGAGGCCACAAAGTCCTGAAAATAAATTGTTAATAAGAGTGAGAAGGAGTGTTGAAAGGTTTGCATGATTGGCCCAACAAGTTTTTTGGGTCTTTGACAAACTCAAGTAGAATACTAAGTTCTTTGTATTTGAGCTTCTGGCCTTTAAATCTATTGGGGGAGGATGAGTTCTTCTGGATTAAGTAATTCTACCAAGTGACCCAAGCCATGAGTAATGCGCTTTTTTACCTCAACTTTATTACGAACAAGAACACCACGACCTTGAGCAGAATCACCACCAACATCAACTTGAACAACAGTTCTCTTTGTCGTGGATTTTGAAGAAAGATGTGTGGATAAGGCTAATTCACATTTTTTATATATATATTTTACCAATACATTAAAGTTAATTCACCAGAAGACGATGTCTGGATAAAGCTAATTCACATTTGTTTTGGAGGAAGATGTCTGGAAAAAAGCTAATTCACTAATATATTTTATGACATGAGTGTACAAAAGTTCTCCATTGACTTCTTTGTACCAAAATCAAGCGAGAAAGAGTGAAATCTTTATTCAAAGAGTTCAAAATGAAAAAACACTAATTCATATTGTTGAATATCAATCTC